ACTAGAGCATATTCGACTAGTGATCAACAAAACTAAAGCATATCTAGATAGTGATCAACTTACTTGCTCGGTGATTTGTGCACTGCTATGCCACCATGCGATGAGATGCTTCAAGGGCTTGCAATACTTGGAGACGGCCTCTTGGATGGTGTACCATCGATGGTTGAGGGACTTCCGCTCACGGTTGCGGATCAACGCGTTGGAGTAGGCGCGAAATGCTTGTGCTCATGGAACCATATGTGGATGTTCCTCCAAAAGGTTGTGCCCTTTTGCTCCATGCCATGGATAGGATCGAGGCTAGTGGCCAAGCATGTCTCGCACAACAACTCGTCCTCCTGCATGTTGAAGCTTTCTCCTCTACCCTTTTTCTTCGGATCACCGGCTATATCATCCGGATCATCATCGTCGCCATCCTCCTCCTCCTCCTCCCCCTCCAAATGCTGCTCTCCAGCGGCCCAATGCTGCAGTTTTTGTGTGCCATCGCCGACCTAGGTGTAGGACTACTGCCTGGTCATCTGGGTGTTGGACTGCAACTGTTGGTAGTTGCTGGACTAGGTGGGGTCCAAGTCTTCCACCTTCCCGTCCTCATAGCCCCCTCCTCCTCTCTTGCCTCCGTCGTGGATGATATCGAGCATCTCCATGTCTGCGTCGTACTTCGGCTCCCCCGCTCTTGGCATCGCAGCAAACAGCGTGCGGGCACCCATCTGCTCTCCGGCTGCCGTCCTCGCCCGGATGAGCGGTGGCGGCAAGGACGGCGAGGAATGTTGGGAAACGTAGTAATTTCAAAAAAAAATCCTACGCACACGCAAGATCATGATGATGCATAGTAACGAGAGGGGAGAGTGTTGTCCACGTACCCTCGTAGACCGAAAGCGGAAGCGTTAGAACAACGCGGTTGATGTAGTCATATGTCTTCACGGCCCGACCGATCAAGCAGCGAAACTACGGCACCTCCGAGTTCTAGCACACGTTCAGCTCGATGACGTCCCTCGAACTCCGATCCAGCCGAGTGTCGAGGGAGAGTTCCGTCAGCACGACGGCATGGTGACGATCTTGATGTTATACCGTCGCAGGGCTTTGCCTAAGCACCGCTACAATATTATCGAGGAAGACTATGGTGGAGGGGGGCACCGCACACGGCTAAGAGATCAAGAGATCAATTGTTGTGTCTAGAGGTGCCCCCCTGCCCTCGTATATAAAGGAGCAAGGGGGGAGGGGCGCGCCATGGGGAGTCCTACTCCCACCGGGAGTAGGACTCCCTCCTTCCCTTGTTGGACTTGGAGAAGGGGGAAAGAGGAGGGAGAGAGAGGAAGGAAAGGGGGGAGGGGGCGCCGCTCCCCTCTCCTTGTCCTATTCCGAATAGGGGGGAGGGGGGCGCGGACCAGCCCTGGCCGCCTCTCCTCTTCTCCACTAAGGCCCACTATGGCCCATTAAGCCCCCGGGGGGTTCCGGTAACCCCTCGGTACTCCCGTGAAATCCCAATTTCACCCGGAACACTTCCGATATCCAAATATAGGCTTCCAATATATCAATCTTCGTGTCTCGACCATTTAGAGACTCCTCGTCATGTCTGTAATCACATCCGGGACACCAAACAACCTTCGGTACATCAAAACTCATAAACTCATAATATAACTGTCATCAAAACCTTAAGCGTGCGGACCCTACGGGTTCGAGAACTATGTAGACATGACCAAGACACGTTTACGGTCAATAACCAATAGCAGAACCTGAATGCTCATATTGGCTCCTACATATTCTACGAAGATCTTTATCGGTCAAACCGCATAACAACATACGTTGTTTCCTTTGTCATCGGTATGTTACTTGCCCGAGATTCGATCGTCGGTATATCAATACCTAGTTTAATCTCGTTACCGGCAAGTCTCTTTACTCGTTATGTAATGCATCATTCCATAACTAACTCATTAGCTACATTGCTTGCAAGGCTTATAGTGATGTGCATTACCGAGAGGGCCCAGAGATACCTCTCCGACAATTGGAGTGACAAAACCTAATCTCGAAATACGCCAACTCAACATGTACCTTTGGAGACACCTGTAGAGCTCCTTTATAATCACCAAGTTACGTTGTGACGTTTGGTAGCACACAAAGTGTTCCTCCGGTAAACGGGAGTTGCATAATCTCATAGTTATAGGAACATGTATAAGTCATGAAGAAAGCAATAGCAACAAACTAAAAGATCAAGTGCTAAGCTAACGGAATGGGTCAAGTCAATCACATCATTCTCCTAATGATGTGATCTCGTTAATCAAATGACAACTCATGTCTATGGTTAGGAAACATAACCATCTTTGATTAATAAGCTAGTCAAGTAGAGGCATACTAGTGACATTAAGTTTGTCTATGTATTCACACATGTATCATGTTTCCGGTTAATACAATTCTAGCATGAATAATAAACATTTATCATGATATAAGGAAAAAATAATAACTTTATTATTGCCTCTAGGGCATATTTCCTTCAAGGAATACTCGGAGAAGAGCATCGCCACATTAACATCGACGATGTAAGGAACCGTGCCGATGGGGTTGCGATTTGCTTGGTGGCGTAGTAGTACGGATGCTTGTAAGGCTCCGGCCACATCGTCGTCTGTACTGTGGGCGCGCCTATCTGGCGGCGGCCGCCACGGCCTGGCCGACCGCCCCGTCCTCCACGCCCACCACGTCCATCGCCACCACCAGGCCCACCAGCATCCAGACGCTTCTTCATATTCTCCTCCTTTGTGGCCTTCGCTTTGACGCGGCAATTTTGCCGCGTCTAAGAGCTGATCTTCCGGGCGAGCATGATGCTCGGATCCTCCGACACCTCCGCCAGCTGCATCTCGGACAGGTTCTCCAGCAGTTCCATGCGTCAGCGGCGGAGGGAAAGAGAGGGTGGGAGAAAAGAGCGGGAATTGTGCAGAGAGTGGCGGGGAGTGGAAGAAGAGAGTCGGGGGTTTTAGCGCGGAAACAGCGCGGGACGCTACAAAAGCGTGGGCTCGGCCTTCCTTTTGGGTGGGCTAGGGGGAGAACGGCGTTTCACGTGTCCAGACTCCTGCAAACCTCCCACATGTTTGTCTCCGATTTGCGGGAGAAATCACGTATGAACCGCTCCGTGGATCGATGCATGTCGATGTTGGATGGCTTCCGCGGTCCGGACAGCGCGGTCCGGACGGTTGCGGGAGGTTTGCAGGTCGGCGTTGGAGATGCCCTCGCATAGCATACCGTAGAAACAAACGCTATATGTCGCTGCTACCCCTGTTTCATGGTTTTCGTATATTAATATTTTTCTTTTTATAATAAAGAAGAGTATTCAATTGGGTCGGTCTGAAACATTTTTCTCCTTCCTAGGAGCGGCTCCAGCAATTAGGGTTTCCCCGCCTCCCGCCGGCATCGGCGCCGATCTACCTCGTGTTCTGTGGCCTTAGGGCCATGGAGGCACGGTGGATCTCGTCCATCGTCCATGAAAGGGCTCCTGGTCCCTTTTAAGTGTATTTTAGTTTGTTTAGGGTTTGTATTCTGCTTAGAAAGGCGAGGCGCCGACGACTCCTTGAAGATGAAATAAAATTCTCCCTGCCTAGCCCTTGTCTCAGGGGTGCGTCTAGCGTCGTCGGAAGGTATATGGAGGTGTGTCTCTGACGGATCTCACGGGATCCGGTCGATGTTTGTCTTTGGTGGATCTACTTGGATCTGTTTTTCGTTTGTCTCGGTTCATGTGTCTACATGTTAAATCTTTTCGTTCTACGCTTCTCTTCATTGATTATGGTTGTTATTCTGGTGCGCTGGTCGTTTGGAGGATTAGCACGACAATTTTTCGACTGTCTACTACAAAAGATTTGCAGGGCTGTGACGAGAGAGGGCGATGAGGAAGACACGTCTTTTGCTCATTCCAGTGCTTGTAGTCGTAGGCAGTCTACCAACATAGATATAGATTAGTTCCTTTTACTTCTCTTTTTTTTACACTCGCAATGATATGTTTGCTAAATACTACTAGATCAGAAGTTTTTTCAAAGAAAATGAGTACGCAGCATGAACGCCAGCCGACCGGGTCGTATATGATTTTTCTCGCAGAAGTCAAGGTTCAGCGCGAGCACGAACCGAAAACCGAGCAATGGCCACATCCGGAGTGAGAAGACGACAAAAGGTGGTTCGAGTCTTCGAGGTATGATGAAATTGGGCGTCGTCGTCCTTCCAAATTTAGGATAAGCCGTTGCAGAAGCTTCCCAAGACTTAACTCTCCAAAAGGATTCTTGTCTTGTCCAGCACAGAGCAAAGCAGACCGCCTCCATTTGCAACGACGGCCCTCTTTGATACTCTAACTCAATTAGAGGTTAGAGTTAGATTCTAACCTTAAATTAACCCTGAACTAACTCTAACCAAAAATGTGTTTGGATGGCAGGGTTAGATGGAGCACGGATACGGCGAGGCGCTTTTACGGGCAGTGCGAGAGGGAGGGAGGGAGAGGACGAGAAGTTTCGAAAAAGTGGGAAGGATATGATGCAGGAAGAGCGAGTGAAAAATGTGTTTTTTAATGGCCCCGAGAAGAACTAACCGGAATAAGCACCTCTTGGGTGGGTTAGATTTTTTAGACGAGTTAGATGCATCTAACGCAAATTAATCCTTCTGTTTGGATACTTTTGGATTAGTTGAGTCCAAACTAATCCAAACAGGACCGACATGTTTAGAAGACCTATCTCAATGTCCTAGCTGAACAAAACAAACGGGAAAACGGCACCCATTGGTCGGTGTAAAACAGCTCCAGAATCCTCTCACTGGCGATCGACATCTCGTCTCGTGGCAGACAAAATCGAAAACAGAACGGGCATCTTATCATTGAGCTTTGTTCATTGCAACGATCTTTCTGGACTCGTTTAACCATCATTTTCTTACATGGGTGCTATGCAAGCTCGAGTCATGGCGCAAAAAGGCGCAGCCCTCGCAGACGCACACATACCTTTATATACACTATTCATGGTTCTGTACATACGCTCAGGTGATCAGATCTCTAGGAGGCATGCAGCCTGCACGTGCCCAGAGAACTCCGGCGGTGCGGGGGCGCGTGCCCAGGACGCGGCCTTGCCGGCCTCGTCGCGCAGCATGTACACGGTCTGGTCGCCTCCGTGGCAGCCTGAGCCGATCACCACGACGCGTCCGCCGGGGATGGCGGAGACTGTCGAGGCGGTACGGGCGTCCTCCGGCACGGACGCCACCGTGCGCCAGCCCGCCGAGGCACCGGCGTCGCGAGCCACGAGGTTCCCGTCGCGAAGCATGTACATGCGCTCCGCTCCCGGCGCCACGCAGCAGGTTCTCGGGCACGTTCCGTCCTCTAGCAGGCTCTCCTGGACGGTGGCCCAGGCCGCCGTCGCCGGGTCGAAGGCCTCGGCGGAGCCAGCGAACCGCCCCTGCGCCTGCGTCGGGTACCCGCCGACGACCAGGAACCTGCCGCCGACGCAGAGCCCGCGCGGCTCGTCGCGCTCCTCTGCCATGTCCGGGAGCGCGGCCCACGCGTCGGCGTCCGGGTCGTATGCCAGCGCCGACCGGAGCGCGTTCTTCTCCTCGTCGTGCCCGCCGGCGACGTACACGACCCCGCGGACGGCCGCGGTGGCGAAGAAGGACCGGCGCGGGCCCGGCATGGGCGCCCCGCGCCGCCACGCGCCTGTCAAGAAGTCGTACACGTACACCGAGTCGGTCGGCGCCCACGACTCCGGGTCCCACCCGCCGACGACCACCAGCCGCTTCCTCCCCTGCGCGCCGTCCACCGCAGCCACCTGGCAGAACAGGGGCAGGCTCCCGGTCGTGCCGGGCAGCACTGGGAGCGGAGCCCACCGCCCCTCCACGGGGTCCAGCAGAACCATCCTGTAGTTGTTCGCGGATCCGCCGTTGGCCGCCGACGCCGACGCGTGCTTCTGCGCCGGGCCCGGCTCGACGTGCTCAGGCTGCGCCTGGACCATGGCGACCACCGGGCGCGCCAGCCCCTCCGCGCGGCGCAGGCGGCCGTAGTCCGGCGACTCGACCTCCTCCTTCCACTGCCGCGAGATGCGGCGCACCGCCGGCAGCTGGTCGAAGCCCACCCGGATGAGGCACTCCCTCGCCACCTCCTCCGGCAACCCTGGAATCAGGTCGCTCATTGCTGACGCCTCAAAGCAACTGCTCATTAATGAACTCGGAATGATTTCAACAAGAAACGATTGAGTGAGAGCTTGCTTGATCTGCTCCGTGCGAGAGCTGCGTGCTGATGATATTCTTGTGTGCGGCGAGTGGCGGGAGTGGCGCGCCATATTTATACGGGGTATTTGGGGAGCCGAGCAGAGGAAATCGGCAGAGGAAACAGAGGAGTCGATAGAATTGCTCATCTTCTCTTCTGGGGGTGTGCGTGTGGGCCCGGGACGGTTTGGAGCTTATCGTCGCGTACTTGCGCGGGGCGGATTCTTCCAGATCTTTTAGCGGCGTCGCGGTCTGCGAAAGGGACGACAGTGTCGTGGTGCAGTAAGCGATCCGTATGTGGTATGGCGGCGGTGCAAGGGAAGGGATAAGATGGATTTTATCAAGGTTTTTACCACTTGCCATCCTCCTGGATCTTATTTGCACCATACGCCTAGCAGAAGCTCTCTTTTTTGGTAAGGTTGCAACCCAGTATCTGACACAGATTTGTGTCAATCAAACGTTTGAATGAAATCTCGATACAGATGGAGAAGTGGAGATGATACGAGGCGTGCGGTGTTTTGAAGCAAACGATATCCCTGCAAAACGTTTAGCAAGCGAATTTCAAATGACGTCTCCTTCGAACAAAGCAGCTGCCGTGCCAAGCCGAGCTGGTCTGCCTATGGGTCTCCAAGCCGTGGCGCCGGGCAACCATTGCGCAAGGCCCACGCTGGCCTGAAAAATCCGTTCACCGGTGCATGATTACCTTGTCGGCTTGTCCTGTTCCGAACGGATAGATTCTCCGTCCGAGTCAGCCGCGGCTCACGGTTCCTGTTACCGGCAGCAGCAGTTTCCGCCGCACTCCATCGCGCCGCAGCTCGCAGCTGATTTTTATTTTTAAAAATTTTGAGTACTAATAAAACACTGACATCGGCCCACGTGTGCGGTCCGGATGAGATAGCCATGGAGTTTATGATTTTTATTCGGAAATGTTAACGCCCACACGTGTGGGCATTAGCCAACTCACCCCCACGTCTCCATCACCGTCCAGTAACTTCTGTACGAATCTTGGCACGAATTAGCTGATTTTGTATGCCACGTAGGACAACTCGTGTGTGTGGTGTGTGAGAGAGGTCGCCCATACATCCGTTTTACCATACGGAGTGGCCGGTGTGTGGGCGTTCAGCAGTTCGCGCCACACGCCACTTTGCACGCGCACACAAGGGCTAGTGTGTGGGCATTTGCCATCTCGCCCACACGTCCGTCTCCTCTCCCACACCCAAGCTGCTAGTTGCCATGTGTTTTCGCAGCGCACATGGCAACTGCCCCTAGTGTGCTTTATAAGCAGGTGGCAACTCTCTTTTTTTTACCCGAGTTGCCATGTGTTTTTGCAGGGTGCACGGCAACTGCCTAGTGTGCACGTAAGCAGATGGCAACTCTCTTTTACCGAGTTGCCATGTGTTTTTGCATGGTACATGGCAACTGCCCCAACGTGCACGTACATGGCAACTGCCCTAACGTGCACGTAAGCAGATGGCAACTCTTTCTTTTTACATGGCAACTGCCCTAGCATGCTTGTGAGCACATGACAACTCTCTCAACTGCCTAGTGTTAGTATGTGACAACTCCTAAAATTATGAAATCATGGCAACTACATTAGATCAGACCATACATGGCAACTGCAGTTGAGCAACCATGGCAACTGCAGTTGTCCGACATGGCAACCGTAGTTCAGCGACATGGCAACTGCAGTTAAACGAACATGGACGAGGGTCTGGACCATGGCAACTACGGGCGCACGGTGGGCGTCACGCGTGGCGTGCGGGACCAGGAGGGTACGAGGCCTGACATACGGGCGTGTGGGCGTTATCAACTTCGCCCACACACACGCATGTGAGAGGGTTCGGGGGGAAAAAAAAGAGGTGTGTGGGCATTAGTTGTTTTGCCCACACGTAGATGTGTGGGGTGGTTGCTGTCCATGCCACACGAGGCGTGTGGCACAACTACCCGATACACCACACGTGTGGCAGTTATCGGGACCCTTTTTATTAACACTTAGTACATCTGAGATGACGCGTGGCCTTTGGTGTTAGAGAAATAGTACAATGATTTGGCTCTCGCCGTTAATGTGTCGGAAGCTGCACAGTTCACAAGTCGGAGCGTCGCGCTGCCAGCCTCGATCCCGTACGTCCGTCGTCGTCACGAGACCACGAGAGCTGCAGCCTGCAGGCCCGCACCACGCGTCCGAAGCTGCATGGTTTTCTCATTCCTGGCGAAGTTCCGTGTTTTCCGCTAAGAGCAACTTCAAGGGGGGCAACCCAACCGGATGGTGCTTTTATCCATTTTTATTTGTTTGGATCGACCGTCCGCCTAACGTGTGTCCTGTTTTAGATTTGGGTCGGCAACTCGTCGATCCATTTCATGTCCGCACGAAGATCATCTCAGCAGTCATGTCGCCGCCCGAAGCTCATACCGGCATCATGCCAGCGTCGGCATACAAATACCAGCTTCAAAATAAGACCACACAGTTCATGTTGGCGCACTCGCTAGCGGCTGGCACACATGCCAGCACACAAAAAAGGATGGGACTTGAGTTCGACCACGCCATCGCGGCCCCGTGGTCATGCCAGCACACCTGTCGGCATACAAAAAAAGATGGCGCTTGCCGCAATAGGGCAATCGTCGTCGAACTTGAGCATGTCGGCCTGCATCTTATCAAACCACGACCTCTTCCTTGGCGACACAGTGTTGAGATCCACCTTCATGATCTCCACCCCGGTCATCATGCTCGCAAGAGCCACTTCTTTCGCCTTGGTCTTCGCGTTGGCGGCCTCGATCTCTAGCATCTTGGCTTGCTTCTCCGCCTCCATCTCAGGCATCTTGGCTTGCTTCTCCGCCTTCATCTCAAGCCTCCTCCTTTGGATCTTCATGAAGGCGTTCATTTGTTCTTCTTTGTATCGTCGGCGCTCCTCCTCCCTTGAGTCCTTCTTGCTCATCATGCCCTCCACGCTACCGATCAAGGCATTGGACGCCGCATCCCACTTGTCTTCCTTTTTGGAGTTGGTCTTCCCCCGCGGCCGTGCCTTCTCGCCGTCCCCAACCTCCTCCATGGCTTGCTTCCTCCCACGCGACTTGAGGGTGGCATATTGCGCCTTGAACTTCTCCTCATCTTTAATGACCCTAAAGCAATGGGAGAGGTTGAAGGACTTGCCATTGTGTTGGACCTTGAATGCCTTCAAAGCTTGAAATGCCTACAAATGTATTTCATGCAAGCATACTGGCAAAATGGTATGCAAATGAACACGCAAGCATAAACGGAATAACACAAAAGAGGGCGGCTTGCTAGCATACCATGTCTTGCATGCCGATGTCGCTCAAGGCGCGGGCCTTGACGCTCTCAAGAGTGGCACAAAACTTGTTGCACTCTTGTTGAATCACCCTCCATTGCTTCAAAATGGACACCCACCCGCGCGTGCTTACTATTTGGTAAGGCGGAAATTTCTTGCGCTCATGGAACTTACGGTGGACACGAATCCAAAAGGTTGATGCCTTTTGTCCGGCGCTCGTCTTGGGGTCTTGCCCAACATCTCTCCAACACTCACAAAGAAGCTTGTCCTCGGCTGTCGTGTATGCATTGGTCTCGCCCCGACGGCTTGGTTGGCGAGCTCCTCCCCGAACAAAGGCTCCACTTCAATGTCGCACTCGTCCTCTCCCTCTTGCCCGTAGTCCTCCGAAAACTCGTGGTCGAGTGGGAAGCCATCCAGGTCCAGGCCGACCTGATTATGCATGAAGGCCGCCTGATCTTGGTCAAAGGTGGACGGCGTGAACACCCGTCAGTTGTCCTGGCTTTGTGTCTCGTCAAGGTTGTAGCCAGCTACGGCGGCACCGCCAGCGGCCGGCGTACCACCTCGAAGATGATGTTCTGCATGTAGTCGTCGTCGCCGGAGGACGGCATTCCGTCGAGCAGGTTGCGTGCGCCCGGTAGCACATCGGCTGGCATGTACAGCGGGCGTTTCCTCCCGCCTCTGGATGACGAGCCACCGGTGTGGCATTTAGGTTGATGGGCGCGGGCGTGGAAGGTGCCACCACGTTCACCTCGGGCGAGCACTCCCCGAAGAGGCGGGAGACCTGCGGGTAGACGTGGAAGCCTGGCATCGGGATGCAAGCCGACGCACGGGGCGAGTCGGGCAGCACCATCCGAGGGAACGCGGATGAGCCTGTGCTGGCCACGGCGGCGTTGCCAAGGCCGTGCTGGCTAGGGTTTAACCCTAGCATATAGACGCCTCCCTCGTTGTCGCCACGACGCCGGGCGTTGGTGACCTCCTGCTGCGCGGCGGCGGCGGCCGCCGCGATGGCTTCTGAAGGAAATATTGAAGGAAATATGCCCTAGAGGCAATAATAAAAGTTATAATTTATTTCCTCATATCATGATAAATGTTTATTATTCATGCTAGAATTGTATTAATCGAATACATAATACATGTGTGAATACATAGACACAGCATTTCACAAATCACATACCTTGATAAAATTTTGAAAAAGTTCAAAATGGATCAGGCAAAGAAAGGGTTCTTGCCCGTGCTTCAAGGTGTGAAGTTGAGTCAAACTCAATGCCCAACCACAGCAGAAGATAGAGAGAAAATGAAAGATGTTCCCTATGCTTCAGCCATAGGCTCTATCATGTATGCAATGCTGTGTACCAGATGATGGGGTTATGTACCTAGGGTAGGGTCATGGACCTGATCCAAGTAACTTACCCCAAGACATCCTTAGAAGAGGTCGCCTTCCAGTCGACCGATGAGGACTCACTCGACTGGTCTGAAGGACTCGACCACGAAGACTCACTCGACCACCAGGAGGTCAAGAGGCACTCTGCACTGCAACGGCCTGTAATCAAGTAGACTTTATGATAGTAAAGGCACTTTATGTGGGGCGTTACCAGTAACGCCCCAGACTTAACTCACCTTAAACCCTCTCCTACGTGGGCTGGCTGGGGTCCTGGCGCACTCTATATAAGCCACCCCCCTCCACAGGCAGAGGGGTTCGGCATCTTGTAATTCATACATTCATAATCCACTCGACCGCCTCCGGGCTCCGAGACGTAGGGCTGTTACTTCTTCCGAGAAGGGCCTGAACTCGTACATCCTTTGTGCTTACAACCTCTCCATAGCTAGGACCTTGCCTCTCCATACCTACCCCCCACTCTACTGTC